AGAGAGAGAGAGAGGAACGGCGCTCGTTCGAGGATTATTTCACATTTCATTTGACGGAAGATCTCGTCGGTCTCTCGTTAAATTACACGGAACCTTTATTCGATAAGTTTTTCACATTTCATTTGACGCAAGATTCATCGGCCCTCGTAAAGTTACTTCCGCGGAACCGTTTACTCGATAACTCCTCTCCCCCGCTTCTTACCACCGCCCCCTCTCCCCCTTTCCATTTTATTTGCCGCTTCGCCATTCAACTTTCGCGAGAGGTTGCATCGAGGATCACTGTTCCGCGATTACGTTGCATTTCAACTCAGATTCTTCAAAGTGATCCAACGGGGGCGCGAATTAGTCTTAAAGAAAACGAGAATTTTAATAACGATACTGTATGAAACACTTTTCAGCACCGTACGATAATTTTTGCCTGAGCAGAGAATTATTTGAAATTACTGGGATTAATACTAGGGTGAACCGAATGTTTGTGCAATTTTTCGAAGACGTTAAAATTACTTTATGTGCAAGTGTTACGTATCATTTTGTAGCTATTGAAAAGCTCTTTCGTATTTAATTATTAGCTACATTAATTCGTTGATCGTTAAAATTTTTTTCGTTTTGGTACAATTGTGGAGAATTGCAAGAAATGCAAGAGTTTAAAGCTACAGGATATAATATTTTCTCGAATCTCAACATTTTCTATGATACGAAGCTGGTGATTTTTTTATTAGGAAATTAACTTATTCGTCATCATCCTCTACTCTCTGATTGTATAATTAACGCAGAACCTCATTGCAATGAAATAGAAGAAATCTCTTCAAAATGAATAAAAATATAGAATTATATGAAAATTATTTTAATTAAACGTACAGTGTTTCGTTAAAAATAGTTTTACATAGTTAAAGTTTTATTTCGTATAATTTAATATTAACTTCTCTACGGGCTTTGAATAAATAATAGAGTTATCTATTTATGAATTCGTGTTTCTCGAATATATGTATTAATTATAACCGATCAATATTAATCGTACTCTGCAATTCACGGAACAATTATCAAACGAAATTGGGTTTTCAGTACAAAATGCTACAGGAATGCAATTGATAGATTTATTTCCTCTTAGTTTGGACCACTTTTTCCCGAGTTTGTTATCGACAAGGATTCCACTTCTTTTTCTTTTCTCATCAATTAAAGTTACACGGTATGATAAATTCTTCTTGAGCATCATGCAATCGGCTTGCGACACCTTCCATTAACGAAACGACACCTGCGGGGAGCATCTATAATACTCTTAAAGAGCACCGTATCCGTCTCGGTCTCGATAGGGTCCTCCGTTGTCGTCGTCGTCGTCGTCGTCGTCGTCGTCGTCGTCGTCGTCATCCATGGTATCACAAAAATCGAATTAATCCCCGTCACGGTGCCGTTCACGATTTTTTCACTCGTGCCTTTGACCACGTCTTTTATCTTGTTTAAAACAATCGAGTCCTCCAGGAAGAATGTCCCCTCGGAGAAACACAGTAGGGCGACCAATAGAAAGCCCCAGGTCAGGTAAAAACGACTCTCAATGGCCATATCTGTCAAAATTACAAGTAGTAGATATAATCGAGGTTCCATCTCACCGACACATCTATTTACTTAAAAAATGTTTCCACTATTCAGGTTCAATTAACTACAGTGGGTGTAGAAAGTATTCGTACACCGATCAATTTCCAAAAAGACTGTGTAAAATTGTAATTTATTAGCTTATTTTTCTATAAACAATGACATTCTACATATTTTCGGAAATCTCTAGAATAGATAGATTGCAACAAAAATAGCTATTTATGTAAGTTGCGAAATTAACAAGAAAAATAGAATTAATCGATAGAAATGTTGAAGCAATAAGTATTCGCACAACTGTTTAATTTTTAAAACTTCGTTAAAAAAAAAAAAAAACAGAAATTTACATTAATTTACAAGTATATGATACTTTCTTCGTGGGATTTCCTTTTGATTTTATAATTATTGCAACTCTTCTAAGCGTTAAATTAACTAAATTATTACTTATTCGAAGTGGGATCTTCTTCAATTCCTCTATTAGAGCCATTTTTAAATGTACTTTCATGGAAATTTTATGTTTTCTAATTCGTACGGAGCAATAAACTAATATGTTTACGTTACAAACTCCACTGTAAAAATACTTATTGCTTCTATACTTTTACCCACTTTTCACATTTTTTTGTTACTTTCACAAATTATATTAACTAGTAAATGTTGTTTGGACTATATCAATTTTAGAGACTTCCGAGAATATGTAAAATATCATTGATTATAAAAAAAGAAGTTAAGAAACTACAATTTCACACAAAAGTTTTTTGGGAAATTGATCGGTGTACGAATACATTCTACACCTACTGTAAGTCAATTTTTATGCACACTTCTGACACACGCCGTATACAAAACAAACGAGATATCGATTTCGTATCTCCGTCTTGGATCTACAAATTTTTGGATATTCGAAAAATAAAACAGTCTCTCTGTTTCCAATATACCACCGACATGGTTCCGCCGCGACAGTTCGACGTGTAACAAAACGTAGACGTACCCTCGGAACAGGACCTGGACGGTTCACGGACGAAGTAATCCGTACAAACACCGGAATTACACTGAGAACAACGACAAGCACGACGGAACACGAAAGCCCCGCGAGTTCCCCGTCGTCTTTCGTCGGCGTATTAATTTCTTCTATTTTTCCCCATTATTGTGGTCAAGAGTGCGCTCCGTTATCTACCCGCTGGAATTTTTATCGCGACAGATGTTTTTCCGTATCTCGGTCCACTGTCCCCGTTTCTACCGTCGTCATTATCTCTCGCGACCAGTTTCGTTCGATTTCTTCTCGTGTTTGCTAAGCCACCCGCTAATTTCGCTCGCCGTTTCCTCCCCCAGACGGGGATATTGCGACTCGGGAAACCGGGTGATTCTTCCGGCGAAGTTAAGAATTACCTCGAAGCTAGCTGAAATCGTGGATTCCTACAGACGTGGCGTTACAAGCCGTTCGGAACTTGTATGTAACGAATATAGTTTCTGAGAAAATCTGTACTGGCGCCACTTTACCATGTTCTTATTAAATATAATTTATAAATTAAAGTAACAGAGAATCGCGGTTTGCAACGTAGCATTTTTGACAGATTACAAAACACGTCAAATCTCTCCTGGAAACAATGACATATGTAATTTCTTACCATAATCATTAATAACGCTAAAACAGTCGTTCCTTACTCTTCTAGCCATATCGATTACTGGCGCCATTGATCATTCCGCATTTAAACACTGCCAACTCGGCGAAGCTTCTACGCGCTGAACCTTGCTCCGAAGCGCACTTGTTCAACAATTATTCAGAGATTTATAACTCGGTCTCAGAATGCATTTTTCCTTCTCGCGTCGCCGACGTCGCGTATCCCGTACGATACCCGCGAGAGTAGAAGACCCCGTTTCGCCGTAACTTTTCAGCGTACAATGAAATAAAGCTGCACCTGCGGAACAGGACGGCAGGCCTGGACGGTTCACGGCCGAGGTAACCCGTACAGATATCACAATTACACTCGGAGAGGAACGACGATAGAACTCGGACTAGATACCCAGTTCCTTTCGTCAGGGTAACAATTTATAGAACGTGGGCGCCAACGGATACCCAGTTCCTTTCGACAGCGTATCAATATCTTCTTTCTCCACCTCGCTATTGGGGTCAAGAGTGCACTCCGTTATCTGCTCGCCAGGATTTGTATCGGGACAAGGATTCGACGGAATCTGTCCACCGTCCCCCATCCTATTTTTTCTATCGTCGTTATCCGACCCCACCCCGTTCGATTTCTTCGCGTGTTTGCTAAGCCACCGGCTAATTTCCTAACGTTTCCCCTTCGAGACGTGGATATTGCGACCGGGAAGAGAATAATTAGCGTTAAGTTCCACGGGGACGATCGTTTCCCTTTTCCCTTTACGACCGAAATTCGGTTGCGCTTTTTTCGCTCCTCTCCGCGCGGACGTACTTAATTGGAAATACGTTTCCATTCGAACGGCTCGAAAGCTCCGTAAACGTTCCACGTTTCGCGTTATTAAAATTAAACGAGGAAACATGTCGCGTGCTCGCGTTACGCAAACACGCTTTTCAAATATCACCGGCACCCGTTTATACATATAAACGCACGGGACCGAATAAACAGATAATCGATGGAATACTTTCGTATGCTTTGAGCGTGACATTCGAAATGTTTTAATAAACATTGCCTGCTAGATGAGCGTTTGCGAAAAGTACTTAAAGCACAGTGAACCTTACTTAATTGGAAAGCTGACGTTTTTGCTCGCGACACTTGGGCGTGAGGGGAATACAGGAAGTGGAAGAATTTGGAATGAGAGAATATGGAACGAGGGAGTGTAGTACTTGGGAATGTGGGAATGTAGCGTGTTGTACGTGGGAATGTGGAATGAGAGAGGATGAAAATAAAAGAATGTGAAGTGGGAATGCAGAATGTAGTACTTGAGAATGTAGGAATGCAGAATGTAGTACTTGGGAATGTAGGAATGTCGAATGTAGTACTTATGAATGTGGAAGATGAAAGAATATGAAATGAAGAACTGTGGATTGAGGGAATGTGAAAGTAAAGGAATATGAAATGAAGAATCGTGGATTGAGGGAATGTGAAAATGAAGAAATATAAAATGAAGAACCGTGGTAGTGTGTAGCATAGACGTGCAGACGGCGATATAATAAAGTATGAATGAGGAAATCCGGAACAATTTCTTGCAGCATCTTCAAGTATGCCACACGAAATGTGAAGGCATTGCGACGCGAACAACGAACGGAGCCTAAAATGGTTAATCCAGCTTTGCATTTCCTTTCACGGAGACTCAGCTTGCGATCGTCGTTACGTCTAATTGAACGTGAATTGGCGGCAACGAGCGTAAAAAGGCCGCGAGCTTTGACGCGTTCAAGCAGCGTTTCCTTTCGCAAAGTTTACCGCTCGGTTCTTTAAATATGTGCGGCCGACTTAAACGCGGCTTGTAAAGACCAGCACGCTTCAAGTGCCCGCTGAAGCACTACTTTTCTTCTAATCGGCAAGTAAGTTGTCGTGCCTTTGTGGCGACACGGTTATTACAATGCGGGCATGTAGATGGCGTTGGTACACACCGACGACGCTAATAGCGCTCGACATCGTCCTTTATACCGTGAAAAAGACGGGACTCGTTGCTTTTTTTTCTGAGAACAGATTAAGGAAACGATCGCGTTCTTTGTGAACGGTTAGAGGATGCTGACTGCTTCCTGAGGTTATAATTCGCGGAGATTCGACTGACGAACGAATTCTGGGAATCTTGGTGAGTAGAGGGCGCTGTCGTGTTCCGTGGGGGTGCTGTGAACGAATTTGTTAATTTTAAGGTTAGAATTCGACCATCTAGAGCGTTCACAAGGAATACCAAATTGTTCGTTTAAAACAGGAAATTCAAATTATAGTAATGCATATATTTAACGCGCTTAAACGTAAAACCGTTTCTAAAAATGAAGGCGACCTAATGCAACCATTGCGCCGGCATTCTTAGAAAAATTAATTCGAGGAAATCCCAGTGGAAATTTTAATCTGAGCGATGTTCGACTGCGTTGATTAATAATTAGACTCCGCAGTACGTTTGCGAGAATTCCCGTTTCGTTTAAATGAATTTACCTTTCCCGGGGCGTGCTTTGGCAAATGCCGTAATAATATTCTAAAAATAACAGGAAAGTTTTAATAAAATGGCCGACGTTAGAAACTCCGGGGTCCCGGTGATTTAGCGTTTATATTAAATGAAAAAACAACACGTTTCGTTGGAAGTTTTTAATAAAAGTACATTTCGTCCGGGAATTCTTTCGCGTTTCTCGGTTCTCGAAGCTCGAGCGTTGGCGAAAACGCTTCGCTAGATCGTGGGTGCGTTGATAATGACACGACGCGACACTTTCTCGTGACTTGACAAACAATTCTTGACCCTCGGGAGGAGACTGGCAATGTAATGGACTGAAATATGGAGGAAATGTGGGTTAAAGGAATGTAGATTGAAGGAATGTGGAATGGGGGAATGTGGAATCAGATAACGTGGAATGGGGGGAATGTAGATCAAGGGAATGTGGAATGAGAGAACGTGGAATGGGGAGAATGTAGATCGAGGGAAAGTGGAATGGGGGAATACGGAATGAGAGAATGTGGATCGTGGGAATGTAGAATGGAGGAATGTGGAATGGGGGAATATGGAATGAGAGAACGTGGAATGGGGGGAATATAGATCGAGGGAATGTGGAATGAGAGGACATGGAATGGGGGGAATGTAGATCGAGGGAATGTGGAATGAGAGAACGTGGAATGGGGGAATATGTTATAAATTATGTAGTGGTGTAGAATATAAAAATATGGATTGTAGGAATGGTGTACCTACAAATCTCAGGTATTAATATTCAACCGAGCGAGTGAGTAATGAGTCCATCGACTCGTCGACAGGGGTTCCCATCGGAAAAGTTGAGAGGCTCCTAGATTGCGTTGCGGCGACAAGAGGGTGTCGCTGAAACTGTAATATTTCGGGACAAAAACGCGTCCGGTGCGCTCCAAGTGTTCCATAGAAGCGTAAGAAATATTTTTCCAACGGATTTTGTCTGAGTAGAACTTTGCGCATTATTTCTCGGCTTTCTGCCGGGCTAGAGAAAGGAGAGGATTTTATCCCGAACTCAGTCATGTGCAACAAAGGGGTATTGATATGGGCCGTGCTTGTGAAACGGGCCAATAGCTGCGGCCGCCATTGTCACCCGCGGCCAGATCCATACCGAAGATATCTGTTGTATTCTTCCAACTACAAATTCCACTGGTCAATTTTTTTCCCACTCCTCTCCCTACCGTATCATCGCAACGTATCTTTGCACTTCCCGTCACTCAACGCGATACATCGATACCAATCTTCGAGCCATTAAACGCGCATAACGGAACGGGAACGAATTTATTATCAGAACCAAATTCAATCCTTTCGTGCCACGATTAAAATACCTCAAGGTGGAAGGGAGGAAGCCTTAGAAATCGGGATAAAAGTGGAAAAATAATAACATTTGTTTGATTCAAAATTTTTTTGATCAGAGTCTTAGGTACATCGACAGTGTTATTATATTATTATCAAGAAAATCTTTGGTTTTTTTGTTTAAGGGATAGCACTGGAGAAAGACTGAGTTCAAGGAGCATGAGGGAATGTGGAATAGGAGAATATGGGTATGCAGAATGTAAGTTACGTGGCGCATGGAACATAAAAAATTTAATTTATTAAACTTGGACCAATTGGGCCTATTCGCGGGATCGACGATCAACTAAATATTTAATCAATCCCAACGGACGATTCGTTCAACGAGAAATCCCATAAATGGAATGATTGATTAATCCCCGAAAATCTGTTGTCCGTGTCCGACGATGGTAATTATCATAACGAAATCCGTGCAGAAGTGGATGTTGTTATGTCCGTGACACGGTATTCAAATGACGAACAGATTGTAGGTCAGCGTTGAATATTTTATGAGTTGTTTGGATGGCGAAGTTGAATTTATTACATAAACTCCACACACGCCCCTCCCCCGAGCCTCGCGACATGATACTTGATGTTAAGGCGATGATACGGTTCGTTACCAGCCACGAAAATTTATTACCTACCCGCTTACCAGCAACTTTCCATCCAAATAATAATTAAACAGCCACTCGCGTATTAAGCAGATCCATTTACTATCGTTCCTCCGCGTTTCTCATCGATAAATACTTTCACTCGCTTCCTCTTCGAACTTCCTGCGATATATTCCCGCGTAATTATTCACGTAATTCGCGAGAGATTTATTTCTCGTCGACAAACATTTTCGTTTTCGTGTCGGAGGACTCTCGAAGAGTTTCGCTTAAATTTCATCGATCTGTCGATAAGGGAAAATGGATCGATTCGAGGAATTTCCGCGCCGCACGATCGGTGCACGTTTAAATTGCAAAAATTTTACGAAACTCCGCCAGATCGATGATCCCCGTGTTGTTTCAACGTCGCTGTTATACAACGTATCCTCTCTAACCCAAAGCACACAAAATTTGTTTGGGGTAGTCTGTACCTTTCCCATCCTTCATTTTCGAAGCGAATAATTCGAAGCTTGTAAGAATATTTAAAGTTGCGAACAATTTGGAAAATGTCGAAGATGAACGATGATTCTGCGAGAAAGGAGTTTCCCCTTCGTATATATTCCGAGTCGGAATATTCAGGTGTATGGAAAATACAGCGGCTGGTCTGACTAGTGACGAACTCATACTACTTAAATTCTATTCTCTTACTACTTGCTCCTACGCACGGAACGCTTAACCGCGAGTGAGTAGTCGTTTAAAGGACGATTCTACAGACCGAAATGAGACGAAAAAAAGGAATGAAAAAATTGCATTCAAAGTTTCGGATTCGAGTTATTAATTATCGAAGATGCCCAAATAAATGAAGATGTTTTATGTAAAATTGAATTCTCTATAACACTTCCGTAAAGTATTTTCAGAATCCTTTCAAATATCGAATACATAAACAATTTTAAACTTTAT